TGGGATGCCTAAATGGGGAGCTCCTTGATGCCCATGGCGTGGAGCTCCTCTGGTTTGAGGTCCTCTAGGTTGTGCTTCTCCTTGTTGTCCAGCAAGCATCTATTGTAGGATCCGCTAATTTTGAGTCACAAGCTGCTACATTATTTTCTGCATCTGTTATGCATTTAGAACAGGGTTGGTTGGTGGAGGGGCAACCTTTTCCTCTTGTGGTGGATTTATCTTTGGGTTGATTCATAGATTTGGTGGTGATTGCCATAAGTATGGCAAGAAAAGTGCTCAGGTGAGAATTTTGTTGATTTCCATAGACGGCGCTAAATTGATGATGCACAAATTGATTTTATGCACCACCAATCGAGTGATTGGTAATAAATGCAATAATTAAATAAAGAGAGAGAGAGAGAAAGACAGTAACTTGAGCAATGCAATTATGTAGAGTGGTTCAGTCAATGTGACCTATATCCACTTCAAAGGGTTAGGGTCGCTTGGGTATTTTATTATTTTGAAGAGTGTAGGGAGATACAAGTTATGAGGGACATAGGATAATGATAGTAGATGTGCTTGATTATATGTGATGTCTCCCAAGTGTTGGTGGGGCTTACAATTTATAATCGTCTCATAACAAATTGAGACAACTTATCACTAACTAAAATGCTAAATTGGTGGAGTTGGAACCATCTTCTCAACGGATGAGGCAGTTATAACGCTCCCTATAGGATCCGGTCAAAAGATGACGTGGTGGTTGATTTCTTTCAATGCGGCGTGGTTGAGGCTCTTGGATGACCCTACTTACTCCCTTGGTGATGTAACTCCTCGAACTTTGATGAGCTTGACCAAGCATACATAGTACAACGAAAAGAATTCATGAAGCAAAGGAAAAAAACTGGATGAGGCTCTTGGCCTAGACCTATCGGATCTCTTTAAGTAGGGCTCTTAATTTAAACTGGGTTTATAACATGAATTGGGCCCTTGGGCCTGACCCATCATTAAATAACATGGGTTATATGTATAGGTTGTAACCGAAGAAGTTGAACAATAGTACAATGAAAAGAATTCAAGAAGCAAAGGAAAAAAATGAGGCAAATTGTGACATTGCACCTTCAATAACGAATTGAATGCCGAATAGTTTTTTTTCGCGTAACTGCAGGAAAAAATTCTTATGCTACATATTATAAAAAAATTAAAATTATATGTGATTGATCATGACATTTTATAAATGATCATAATTTTGTAATTTTGCAATGGATGATAAATAATTTCATCCAGTTGTAACTTGATTTAAAAAGTATAACTTAACCTTTAAAAATTGTATATTTTATAATTGATTACAATATTTCATGAGTGATCATTACTTTTTGAGTTACAATTTTGATCAGTTGCAAGAATTTTAATTCAGACTCTCATAAAATTATTTTAGTACGGTACCTTATTTGGTAGTGTAAGTTTTGACATGTGTTATGTCATCTTGTTATATTTATAGATTATTGTTAATTAACATTGATTATATCTAGAAATTGTAGTCGAAGAAGTTGAAGCAAAGGAAATAAATAAGGCAAAGGAAATGAAATTTAAAAAAAAAAAAAATTGTTAACCAACATTATACACATACAATCAATATTATACCGATACAATGCTTTCACTCATGTTCGAAAGGAGTCTAAATTCTAAATGTGTGCATATCTCGAATCAATGTGTGGGAAATGATTTTCATTCGTAATTTATTTCCAATTTTGGGAAACAATTTTCACGTTGTGGCTAGCGCAATTATGTGGCTGCTATCTCAATGAAAGTTCCGTATTCATTCAAAAATAAATAAATAGACACAAAAATTTACATACAAATTTGGATACCATGTTGCTTTAGGGGTTGACAAAATATTCTTTTGTCACTGGGGCTTGGAACAGAGCATGCACAAAATGTACAAAATTCACCTTTACCACCAAGCTTTTTGAGATTTTGTGAGTGGTGAAATATACAGAGTTGGGGGAGACACACAGATGTGTAAGAGAGAGACAAAATGTAGGAGTCTGATAGAGCGCAGAGTGAAAGAGGGGTAGAGATGTGTGAAAGAGAGAGAGAGTGAGAGGGATGAAACTCTAGGGCCATGTTTGGCTAATTTTTTGGAAACTATTTTTTTTTTCTCAAAATTTCAAAAACACTAAAAACTTGTTTGTTTAGCATTTTTGTTCTCAAATTTTTGAGAAAAAAAATGAGACTTGAGTCAAAGAAACAGAAAACAAGTTTAGCTTGTTTTAAGAGTTTTACTTTAAAATTTTGAAAATAAGGAGAACAATTTTGAATTTTAATGAGATCTACCCTTCGAATCTCTTTAGCAGCAAATTTCTTCATTCCTTTTTTTTTTTACTTTTTCCTCTCTATCATAATATATAATATATATTATTATAATACACTAAATAATATAATATGTTATATATTATTATAACATATTATATTTATATATTATAATATAATATATAATACATAATATAATATTATACTATAATATAATATATTATATTTTAAAGTTTGGTTTATTGAATTTTTTTTTTTGAAATTTTCAATCTAAAAATAAATTTCTTATATTTTTTTTATTAATGTTTGAATTACTGTTCAAACATATATTTAGACTGTCCAAACAGGTTTTATTATTTTCTGTACTGTAAAATTGTTTTTGAAATCATCTAACCAAACAAGTTTTTTATCTCCAAAAATATCAAAACCATTTTCTTAAAACTCTTCTCAAAAACTGTTTTCGGATACTATTTTTTGAAACGCAAACTAAACAGACCCTAGACTCTTGAGATTTTTTGTGAGGAGAGCGGATTCAAAATGTATAGAGAATAGGGGATGAGAGAGACGTGTGAGAGAGAGAGATAGAATGTAATCTCAATCCAAAATGGTTTAGGCGGGATAAAATTCTATAAGGGGGAAAATATATTTGGGAGAGTAAATTTTATCCATCAAATTAGCAAAAGATATTTTTCAGTCAATCTGAGACGTTTGAACAATTTTATAAATAGTATTAGAAAAGGTTTTTAAGAATTTTTTACTCAAATTAAAATTTGAATTTAAAAAGGGTAAGCGTCGGAGATATTTTATAATGTTATAAAATTAAGAGAGCAGAAAACTTAGAATTACAAAGAGACAAGAGAATATAATATATAAATGCTAGATAAAGAGCTTCATAAGCTTGTATTTCTTAATGTATTAGATTACATAATATATTATATTATAATAATATTATATATAATATATAAATATTATATTATATAATATATTAAATAATATAATAAAATTTATAGGCCTTTAAATATAATGACTCATCAAATCTATATCTATATCTATATCTATCTATCTATATTTATACTACTAATAAAAGTACCTTAACATGAAAATATTTTGATTTACTATTTTACCCTCAAAAAAATTAAAAAGGTCACTCTATCCTTTCACATTTAACATCTAAATTACCATCATATCCTTATGTATTTAAATCTTTAAATTACATATAACATCACTTTTAATTATATATTCTCTATGCATAAATGTCAATTTTTATGAAACTTCTTAATTGATTATATTATTCTTAAAAAGTATATGCATCATTATAAGTTTTAACAAATATTCAAAAAAATTTCAAAAATTTTATCAATATAATATTATTTGCCTTATTTATAAAGATAATATTATGACTACATATTTATATTTTATTTTTCATATTAATACATATTTATATTTTATCTTTCATCAAAATGTTTAACCCTTTCATTTTTAAGGTGAAAATTAATGTATTTATAGTTTTATATAATTTTGTAGTCACAATAAACTTTTTAGACTGTATTAAGATTTTATGTGAAAACTCAATTTTTTTAAAAATATTTAATATGCTTTATAATATATATTATAGCATTGTAAATTAAATTTTATTCTAATAAACCTAGATAATCCTAAATAAAATAAGATTCTAAAATGATTGGTATATTAATAATTATTTTTATTTTATTCAATAATTTATAAATGAAATCTTAATCAAATTAATTTTCTAATTATCTATTCTCTATTTATAAATTTTGATTTTTATGAAATTTTTTTATTGATTATATTATTCATAAAAAATATATACATTAATTTTCGTTTTAACAAAATATTCAAAAAAATCTTCAAAAACTCTATCAATATAATATTACTTATCTCATTTATAAATATAATATTTCACTAAGTTTAGTTTTAAAATTTTAGTTTAGTGGCTCTGCTATTTTAATATATCAATGATAATGTTTAGAAGATACTATCAACTTGGTCGTAAGTGTGGCTCTGCCCATCACTCTGATGTCCTTTAGGACTATGAATTAGATTAAAAAGTTACTGCATTAAATTGGGTGGGAATCATATATACTAGCTCCAACAACATAATTTAGGGAAAAATAATTTGTAAACATAATGACTGCGATCTTTTGATTATCAATAGGTCATAGTATTAAACGTACTTCATTATCTTTTTTTTTTGGAAAATAAATTGTATTAGTGAAGCCAAATGTACATGGTAATTACCCACAAAAAGAACAGTGAAGTCGGATAGGACTTAAGACCAAAAGGGAAAAAACAATTATGTAAGGGATGCCCTGTAAGGGGTAGGGTATCACCCACAGAATTGCAAACAAGGGAACAATGATAACAAAATAGGGAAGACTGTTCAGTTCCGGAACAGCAGCAACCCAAAACAGACTGGAACCCACAACTGCACAGAACAATCAAGAACCCCAGCAACAAAGGAGGAAGCAAGCTGGAAGGCACCAACAGCACACATCAATGCAAACAACCATACAACAAACAGAACCACAACATGAGACCGTTTGTACCAACAGTCACCAAAGTTGAAGGGGCAAAGCAGCAGCATCGGGGAGCAAACCAAAGAAATAAGTGCATGCATTCAAAGCAAGAACAATCCCTCCAACCAAGCGCCAGATGCTGGGGAACCGAGAATAGTAATAGCCAGCCTCCCTCTATAAAGCAACACATGAACAGGCAAATGGTAACAAACAGGCAAATCCAAAGAGTCCACCATGAAGCGCAAGAGGGAAGAAAAGAGGATAGCCCAGGGAAGGTAGTCCCAAGCCTTCCCATGAAACTGCTGAGCCTGGTGCAACAGCACCGCCTTGAAGGGCCACCACAGGTGCAAGAGAAAACCCAGCAGAAAGCAGAACCAGCAGAACCATAATCCATAGAGCAATCACAGTCAACCACAGAGGACAATACCGAAGACAGATGTATACATTGATGTATGAACCACATTGAATGAAAGAACCATTTTCCTGAAATGCCTGTTCAAATAGTAAGCCACCCAAAAAAAAACCAGTAGCAGCGTAAGGGTCAATGCAATGGACACAATCCAAATTATATTCCAATAGTATTAAAGTTATATTATACTTTGGTTTCATTAAACGACAGATATTATGGAACAAAAAAAATTATGTAAAACGACAGATATTTAGGAACAGAAAGAGTAATACACTACCAAAAAATCGTATCTAAAGACACTCTGTAATCCAAATAATTTAAAATTTGACAATTTAATATAAATATTTTAAGTTGCAATATAATTATGCTTCGTTTTTGTTAATTCCATAATTTGAAAACAATCTACGCCTACTATCGACAAAAGCCAATGACCAATTGCACTGCCCAAAACTCGAACTACCATTTTAATCACATATTGTGCAACAATAATTTGAATAACATATCCTTTCAACCCAAATCATAGTATCATTGAACCCAAACTTAAACTTGTCAACTAATTTAAAACTAAATCCAATTTAACAACTTGAACCCATCTAATTAACAACCGTAATCAAATTAATAGTCTCATGCATGGAATGAACGGAAAAAAAATATACAGGGACTAAAATTCAAACTCTTCACCACACGCACATACACACATCACAAAAACATGCTATGGAAGATTGAGTAACAAATTTTTTTTTTTCTCTTTTTCTTTGTAACAGATTTTAAAAATCACCCATTACACCAAAAATTGAATATTACATGATTAATCTGAGAAATACCAAGGTAATCAAATGAGAGAGAGAGAGAGAGTAGTTGCTTAACAGCCAAAATTCACAACAGTGACATTACTAAAGCAATGATAGCAGCAAATGCTCATGCCGACAAAAAAATTTCATCATAATCGTATTTATACTTGAACTGATATATGCTCACAAAAGACTCAAGAACATAGAGCATCACTTCAGCAGCAACACCTACGATGAGAAGAGACGAGGCCAGTGAGCATATTTCTAAGAGAAAAATCCAAAATTACTCCACAACAATTAGTTTTGGAATAAAACCACCATCAACCCATTAATTGAATATTAATCCAAGCGTCACCGCAACAAATTTGTTTTTTAGTGACGAGTTTTGGCGACAAATAATAAAATTTGTTGTAAAAAAGTGATTTTCGACGACAATTTCAAATGTTTGTTGTTGTAAACTTTTTGTGATATTTTTTGCGACCATTTTTTGTAGTCGTCGTCAATAGTCTTCACAAACATGTTCCCTCAAAAAAAAAAATTGGTGCCAATGTTTGCTCTAAATGCTAATTTTATGGGCAACAAAAAAAATTGTTGCCAAAAAATTTTTCGATCACAAAATTTTTGTCAAATAACTAAAAATAAAAAAACAAAAATAATAATACTTAGCGACAATAAATGTTTGTCACAAAAAAAAAATGTTTTAATTTTTTTTTGCTTGGAGATAATTTATATTTGGTCACAGAATATCACTACAATAAAAACATTTTATTGCGACAACTTTTTTGTGATATCTAAGAAAAATTGTCGCAATAAAAAAGACATTTTACGGATTGTGTTTAGGTGAGACCTGCTAAACTGTTTATCATAGGTTTATCCGTTAAAATAAAATTAACATAATAATAAATTAATAATTATTTAAAAAAATTAGCCAAAAAAAAATGTAAAGAAATCAATACCAAAAAAAAAACAAAAGAAGAGATAAAAGGAGGGAAGATGGGGAGCACTTCAAAGACAAAGGCAAATCAATGTCTTTTGTTTTTGTCCCACATCAGCAAGTGAGGTGAGATGGGGAGGACTGATTTGCCTATAAAAGGTAGTGGCATCTTGCATTTTTTTTTAACCTTAAAATTTGATTTTATGTGAGGTTTGACTATAAATTTTTTTTTTTAGGTAAGTACAGCTGACAGTAAAAAAAATGAAGTATTAAAATGTGTTGATATAATTTTTTAAAAATTAAACGGGTTAAACGAGTCTGTCGTATTACCCGTTTATAAAATTTGTTTATTTTGTTATTTGACGTTAAAAATATGTTAATCACGAAAAATGAACCTTGATTTTTAACGACAAATATTATGTCATCACCAAAGAGAAAAAAATATGACCATAATATAATTTCTTCCGGCGCCGAAAGTTTTTTTGTGACGAGTAGATGAATTGTTAAGCGACTAAGTTTTTTGTCACCGATGATCTACTTTAGCGACGATACTTTAGTTGGTCGTCAAAAACTTTCAGTGGCTAGCCTGTCGTGACAATTTTTTTTGTTGCAAAACATTTTTAACGATGAATTATTCACTTTTCACGATGACTTTTTTGATCGCTAAAAAACATTTTTTTTGTAATGCGTACAAATTTTAAGTGTACAAAAAGATTCATTGTAGGAATAAAATTACCATCAACACCTTCAAAAATATTCATTGTACAAAAAGATTCAAAACAGCAATTTAAGCAACCAAAAGAAAAAAGAAAAAATAAGGAAAAAGCTCAATACAAAAATCCCAGAAAAAAAGAGAGGAGAATTTAACAAAATAACATCCAAACCCCCTTCGACCCTCAAAATTTGTATAAAGAAACCAAAATTTATCTATTCAAACAAATAATCGACCACACGCCATTTATTCAAAGTCAGATCTTAGAAATACTCAAAACCTACAATCAAAAGGTTTTCCATAAAAACAACTATAGTTAATTAGTACATTATTTAATTAAATTGTTGAAATGATCTAAAAATTAATATATGTGTTTATCCGATTTTCTATCCAATTTTTTACCCTATTGTTTTGGACAAAATTCGGTTAAGAATAGTACACTTGATCGAATAGAGTAAGACAAAATTTTTTTTTTTCACAAAGTATAAGGTAGAAAGATGAAATACTAGAATTTCTACTCATAGGGTAGGATGAACACCCCTACCGGTCACTTAATAATTGTGTCTGATGAACAAAATTAAACTAGTCGCTAGCCGAGCACATTTTAATTTGTAGATTCAACCATCCTCTAACCTTTTTGTTGGTACCAAACTTTTTTTAATGAGTAATTATATTGAAATTTAAAATTTGATTTAATCTGTTGACCTAATGATGTAATTTCATTGTAACTATTTAATTAATATGAAGTTTCACTATTTTGTGGGACTAACAGTCAATCCAAAAATTATAATAAATTATGTCTGTAAATTAAGTTACAATAACATTGCCCTTTTTTAATTCACAAATTTACTATCGATGTCGAGTGTATCTCTTATCTTCACTCTATAACTTTTTTCCACGTTTAAAAGAATACAAATAGACTTTATTCATTAAAATATTTAAATTTTTCAAGAATTATATATTATGAGGGTAAGATTACGATTTTAATGAGTATTTAAATTTCCATGTGTATCATGAGCATGAAAATTACGATTGGTACCTGATAAGATTATGATTGGAACTCGACAAGATTACGATGGAACCCAATAAGATTACGATTGGGACCTGATAAGATTACGATGTGACCGATGTCCAAATTAACTAGGAAAATAAACGAAAGTCCAAAACTGACTACAAATTATGCATTAGGAAGAATATGTAATATGCCTTGGGTATCAAATAATACAGAGCGACGTTAACAAGATCAAGTATTCATTGTCAAATAATCTATGGTCAATTTCATGGTTTAATGTTGCAGGATTGGTCGTCGACTCGAAGAGGTTTGAGATATATCGGTTGTGACGACACGGTGTGGTATTGGGCGATACGACCTAATTTTTTTTTTTAATATGACGATAGATTCAAGATATATAACGGCATGACAGAATCGTATCGGTCGATTCAGTAACGATATCTCGGTAATTCGGGATTGACTCGGATACAATTCAGCCTAGTTGGGCGAGACTCGATGTTTATATATATTGTATAACGATATCGTCTCGGAAGGTGACGAGTCGGATCTGATCGCAATATATACAGTTTTAATCGATTTTCGTATTATTTCACTAAAATTAGTTTGAAATTTTAGTTTAATGGCCCTGTTATTTCAATAAATCAATGATAATGTTTAGAAGATACTATCAACTAGGTCCAACTTTGGCTCTGCCCATCACTCAGATGTCCTTTAGGACTATGAATTAGATTAAAAAGTTACTGAATTAAATTAGGTGGGAATCATATATACTAACTCCACCAACATAATTTAGGAGAAAATAATTTGTAAACATGATGACTGGGATCTTTGGATTATCAATAGGTCATAGTATTAAATGTATTACACTATCAATGTAATGGTCATAATGTATTATGTCTCCAAATTATATTCTAATAGAATTAAAGCTATGAAGCACGGATACGAGTATGATACAATACGGATACGGCGATACGGCAAAATCTAAAAAATAAGGATACGGGTACGGTCAAGATAAAACTATAATAAAATATATTTAATATTTTTATTATTTTCAATCAAGATAATACTTATATATTTTGGTAGTTCTTTAACACAATAAGAAAAATTTATAATTCTTTTTAGTTTGAAGAAAATATATATTGCATCATTATGATATATTCACAAAGTGAAGTAATTAATTAAAGAAATCAAAGCTAATATTTACCGATTTGGTTTATTTAGAAGTGATTTTTGCAAAAACTATAATGCAATAGATTAATTTTATGCCTTTTTGACATGTAATTGTAGATAATATTTAAAAAATACTCATGTGCCTTTGAAGTAGTATGAATTTTTGTAAATGTATTGTATGGTATGTGAATTCGAAAGGAAATGTTAAAAATTCAATTCAAAAATTATATACATTGCTTGAATACAAAAATATTCATAAAGTATGCTAATATTTAATTATTATCGAATACGTAAGAGATGTATCCTCGAGTATCCGACGAGTATTGTATCCGATAAAATATCCGATACGGATACATTTATTTCAACGAAATATCCGTGCTTCATAATATTAAAGTTATATTATATTATTTAAGTGATCCTTGATAATTATTAATATACTATCAATAAACTGTGCCTAAAGACATTGTGTAACACAAATAATTTAAAATTTGACAATTTAATATAGGTATTTTAAGTCACAATGTAATTATGCTTCATTTTTGTTAACTACATATTTTGAAAACAATCTACGCCTACTATCGACAAAAGCCAATGAGCAATTGTACTGCCCAAAACTCGAGCTACCATTTTAATCACATATTACAACAACAATACTTCGAATAACGTATCCATTCAACCCAAATCAAAGTTTCATTGGACCCAAACTTAAACTTTTCAACTAATTTAAAACCAAACCTAATTTAATCAAATTAACAACTTCAACCCAACAAATCGACAACCGTAATTGTATCAAATTAACGGTCTCATGCATGAAATGGACAGAAAAAATATTTAGGGACTAAATTTCAAACTCTTCACCACACCCAAATACACACATCACAAAAATATGCTATGCAAGATTGAGTAACAATAACGGATTTTAAAAATCACCCGTAACACCAAAGATTGAATATTACATGATAACTCTGAGAAATACCAAGATAATCAAATATATGAGAGAGAGAGAGAGAGTAGTTGCTTGGCAACCAAAATTCACAACAGTGACATTACTGAAGCAATGATGGCAGTAAATGCTTATACCGACAAAAAAATTTCATCATAACCCTATGTATAGTTGAACTGATATATGCTCACCGAATACCCAAGAACATAGAGCATCACTTCAACAACAACACCTACAATTGGAAGAGACGTGGCCAGTGCGCAGATTTCTTTGTGACAACCCCAAAATTACTCCATAACAATTAGTTTTGAAATAAAACCACCATCAACCCATTAATTCAACATTAATCCAAGCGTTAAAATTTTAAGTGTACAAAAAAGATTGATATTCAACTAAAACAATTCAAAACAACAATTTAAGCAACCAACACAAAAAAAAGGAAAAATCTCAATAGAAAATCCAAAAAAAAAAAAAAGAGGAGAATTTAACAAAATAACATCCAAACCCCCTTTGAACCACAAAAATTGTATAAAGAAACCAAAATTTATCTATTCAAACAAATAATCGATCACACGCCATTAATTCAAAGTTAAATCTTAGAAATACCCAAAACCTACAATCACAAGGTTTTCCATAAAACCAACTAGAGAAAGAACCACCAAACAAACAAAACCAAGGCACGAAAGATGTTGCAGGGCGGATTAATTGAGGCGATAAATAAAAATTATTGTCTATGTTTTGCCCAATTCGATTCATATTCCATGCCACTTTCTCTATCCATGGCGTAGTTCCTCTTGGTTGTTCTACTCAAAGTGAGACCTAGATAATTTTGCATGAACTGCTAACTTCCAAACATTGCCCAAATGCTTGAATAAATGATCCCTGGTTAGAGCATTCCAGCTGGTTAGAACAGAGTGAAAGAGACAAAAAGTTAGCAATAAAATGGGAACGGGGAAAAACAAAAAACACACTATCAATTCTATGACCTTGGACTTTTTTTTTTAAAGTTTTTTGCCCATGGTTCCTGCCAGGTTTCTAAGGGCAGTAAGCAATTCAATAAAACTACTTAGGTCACTTTAGTTCAACTGACCAATAAACAAAACCACAGATTCAAAATTTTATTCTTTCTCCATTTCCTCACGTAAGTTGCATAACTTTACCTATCACTTCAGAGCAATGCAACTATGCAAGCAAACTAAAATTCGGAAACGAGAGAAACATGCACAAAAATAGAATAAAAAAGAGTAAGTTGTTTCTTGACTTTAACAAAACTTTTGCAATTTTTATATTTTTGCAATACGCTCCATAAAGTTCATTGCTTTCTCTTTGCATATCCCAACAACAATCTTGATCGACAATAAAATCCAACAAAGTGCATGTTGTTGGTGATTCAATCAATAACCCATAAGAAGAGAAACTGGCTTCAAGGAAAAAATAACCAAGAGTAAATCTGTGTGCACGTTTGTGCGTGTGAATTTCTGTGTGCTTATGTGTACGTGAGGTTGTGAATCTGTGTGTGTGGGTGTGTGTGAATTTGTGTGTTTCTGTGTGATTGAGACTGTGACTCTGATTTTGTGAGTGACAGTGTGAATCGATGGGTGTGGTTTGTGACAGCATAACGGTGGATGAAATATATTCCGTTCGTATAAAGATATATGAAATTCGAAAAACAGTGTTGTCGAGAAGATTACATAAGAAGTAATGCTATTAGGATATAAAAAAATCAGTAATATTATGTTTAACAAGTTACATACTAAATTTTTTATCTTAAATGATGTGACACAATTTACATCATTAATGACTTATTTGATGATAAAAAATATGTCACATCATATGTGATGAAAAATCTTAGTCAACATAGTATTATTATATAAAAATTAGCTTAATATACTGATATAATGATGTGTCAAATGATGAATTTCTTAAAAAAAAGTCCTAAGAGTTAAAATCCTAACAACTACGGTATTAATAAAATTAGATCAATTTTTTTATTGTTTATGTCAATAATGCTACTTGAACTTCATTTTCATTTGTTTATCTAATTTGTTGACATAATATTCTGATCTAATTCATCATAACCATTAAATTAGTTCTAGATCTCAATAAATAATGAAAGCTATCGTTAATCCAATAATTATGAATGATTAGGTCAAAAAATTAAATATGAAAATTATATCCAAGTAACAATCTATTGCCGCTTACTGTCTTGGCTACTTGCTTGCTTTAGTTATGCTCACTTCTTCAGTTCTTCTATAAATGCCCCTTGTGTAGGATTCTCAGCACAAGTTACCTATCCAGCATCTCAGAATGGCCGACTCTGACGTTAGTAAGCTAGAGGCTAATCAGCCTGAGATTGTTCGTCCAATGGGAAACTTCCTCCCATGCATGTGGAGTGATCAGTTCTGTTCATTTTCTTTGGATAAGCAGGTAAATTCTTGGGCTATAGCTATATTTAAGCTCTTCGGTGCACGTGTGTGTTGTGTGAGTGAGCGAATGAGTGTGTGTGTGTGTGTGTGTGTGTGTGAGAGAGAGAGAGAGAGAGAGAGAGAGGTCTGCCAAAACGATTTTCCCTGAAAGACTGCTTTGACCTCCAAGTTGTGTTCCGGGTATTAGGTGTATTAGAGCTTTTTTCTTGTGTTGTCATGGCATTTTAAAGCTGTCTAGACAGCTTGCTTAAGTTGTTTGATTTCATTTTATTTTAGTACATCCTCTGCTGGGTTAGTTGCAGTTTTATGTTCTTGCCTTAAAAATCTTACAAGTAATGCTCCTAGACCCAACGGAACACGTTCTTTCCTCTGCAGGTAACGTAGAGTAGTGCAATCATGAAATCTATACAGGGTAACTTTTTCTTTTTCTTTGGCCATATACAGCCTAACCTCAGGTGAATACTTATTATGTTCACCATTAAATGATGCCCCAATGTTTGCTAATAAAATAAATAAGAAATTAAACATTAAAACCTAGGGAAATCGATTATGAACTATAAAGAAAACTTCAATACCATATTAATTCTAACTTTATTATGAATCTATAGTTTTCTACGGTTAACAAAGAAAAGAGGCAGATCAAGGTTTGTTAAAAGTCTTTTGGGAAAAAAATAACATATATTCATCAAGTGTCTCAATAATTCAACCCAAAAATTTAATTATTATTATTTTTAAAGGTTTGATTTGAATACATATCCATACACACAAGCACACACATATTCTTTATTATGGTTGCATTTCATTTCGTAGATAAGTGAGTGTTAGATTATATAATGGAAAAAAAAAATGCAATAATGTTCAAGGTACGGCGATTAGACTACACAAGTCCCGTCCCGCTTTCCTCCCTTTCATAGTCTTTGTTCTCTTTGTGATCTACTCCTTCTTCTTGTGCGGTCTTCCTCGTCTCTTCAACCATATTGCTGGGGTGCTGATAATATTTCTAACATGTACCAGAGTTGCACAGTGAAGCTACTTCAAATTCTTTTCCAAGATACAAATTATGTTGAATATATAAATAACTTGGATCAAGAAACTGTTGAAAAATGGCCAGAAGACTTGAAATTTGAAAGTCAAGTTTGAAATTTTTCTGACATTTTATTGGCTACCTCATGGAAGTTCCCAATATAACGAGAGTTCAGGTAGTAGCTCAAACCATCCGAGGCGAAAGGTCTCTTGATCATTAAGAGGATAAAGCCCTTTGATCCAAAACACAAAGTTATCTGATCATTGGGAATTGAGGGTCTTTAGTGACACTGCAAGAAAAAGGGTTTTTACAGCAATAAAGTGCTGTCATAAAAAATTTATATATAGTCACAATTATTTTTTGTAACGGTATTGTCTCGTCATAATAAGTGTGGTATTAAAAGATTTTACGGTAGAAACGGTCTGTCTCTAATAGTATTTACGGCAGCAAGATCCTGTCGTAAATAAATTGTCACAAAAAATTCGACATTTTTGCTTTTATCACAAGGTCAAAGTGCTGCCTCAAATACCATATTTGACTGTCGTAAAAAATAAAAGATATATTTATGACGACAACGATGCCGTCACAAAAAAAAAAAAAAAAAAATAATCTTACGAGTTGAACAAAATGTAAAATATGCACTTTTATAACACATAACGATATATAAGTACAAGAAATTAATGCAAAAAGTTAAACATCCTTCTCGAACCATCTACTCTCTCAATGACGTATAAAAAATATATAAAATTATTGTAACTATACTGAAATAATATTTATATACCTATATACAATAGAGAATTAAAAGAAGTTAGAATATATATTAATAGAAGGCCACACAATATTTCTCTGAACGACTTGTCAAATTATGTAAATAGTATATAAACGAGTTATATTGTATGCATTTCTTCTAATTGGTTTCACCAATATTTGATTCGTTTATAATTGTATCGTGACGGGTGCACTCATTTACTAAATAGGTAGCTTAAGAAAGACTCAAACTTACTAATTTTATGTCGTGTTAACGAGTCGTGTCATATTTTGACATTCTTAGTTTTGATATATAAAAACTTGACTTTATAGAGTTTAATTTTTTTTCTTTAAACTAGAAATTGTCTTTTGATGATAAACTATGTAATTTTATAAAATATTACTTGCAACATGAAAAATAGTTATGGCCAATACAAATTGTTTTTAGAGTTTTTCTTCTTTAAACTATAAACTGTTTTTTTAATTTAAAACAACATTTTAATGTTTTATGAAATATTATATACGATCGGAAAAATAACTGCCACAAATATACAAAATTCTTTTGAATCTATAAAATATTATTTGAGGCAGGAAAAACAGCTGTCTCAAATACACAAATTTCTTTTGAATTTATGACACTATTTATGGCAAAAAAAATAGTTGGCACAAATATTAACACAAACACGTTTTTGGTGACGGCAAACATAACCGTCACAAAAAATTGTCTCAAATACATCTTTTGAGACGACAAACAAAGCAGCCGTAAAAAAATTGTCACAAAGGCCCTTATTTTTGTTGTGTGATTAAGTACCAATCTTAGTGTTATTAGATTTGTGAATGGTACTAGTAATTTATCAAAGTAATTATCTTTTGTTGGAGTGAGTACTAAAATTTAGAATACTATCAAGTACTCATGTTTTAGTCTATAATAAAAAATTCCGATTGTTGTTGTAGTCGTGGGCATATGCTATTGGTCTAATCACGTAAATTGATTTGTCTTGTGTAATTATTTTTTTACTTTCCCGCTTAAGTGTGGGAGTCGATATGGATCCCAATTTGATTCCCGGATAATTTCCGCAAGAGAAACCCATTCCATGCTTTTTTGAAGTTGTTCCCTTCAATCCGTGAACCTCCTAGGTAGGTTGATCATTGTCATGCATTACTTTCTGCTTCCTTCCGGAAAATAAACATCACATTGATGAGTAACAACGATATACAAAACAAAGGGATATTCCCCTTAGAACATGCAGCAGAGGCATCAAAAGTAAACAAATTTGTGAGGGGTGCACATTAAACATAAGCACCTCAAACAGATTTGACAAAAGTACAATGAATTCTCAGAGAACCTATTACAGTTTAGTAAGCAAATAAATTATCATACAAGACACTTATTTGCTTGATTCCTGCTTCCTTCAAACTTGGCAGGGAAGACAGTCTAGCTGACAAAGCGCGATAAACAACTGCCAATTTTGGGACTTGTTTTGTTTACTGAAAGACTTGTACTGTCTATTTATGAATTGACAAGATATTTTGGGAATTAAATAGACAAGATATTTTGGGAATTGTTTTGTTTAGTGCAAGGTTTGTACTGTTTATATATGAATAGACAATTTATTTTGGGACTTTTCTTTCATGCATGTTGCCTGGTGTGCGGTTGCAGGAGTGGGATAATTAGTATGCTAACGAAATTGAAGTGCTGAAAGAAAAGGTGAGGAGCATGCTAGTAGCTGCTGGAGGCAAATCAGCGGAGAGAAGGCATTTGATTAACACACTCGAACGCCTTGGTGTTTCCTATCACTTTGAGAAAGAGATTGAAGACCAATTGGAGAACATGTTTTCTGCCTATGACCATGAAAATAATGAAGGCTATGATTTGTGAAACCATTGGCCTTCACTTTAGAATATTCAGACAACATGGCTATAAAATGCCAAGTGGTATGTTGATTATAACATAGATTTTACATGGATACTGCTGTTGCTTGCATGTATTTTTATACATATATACGGTCGATGTCTAATGTGATGTCTTCACTTATAAAGCAGATGTCTTTAACAAATTCAGAGAGAGCAATGGAGAATTCCAGGAATCCACTACTACCGATGTGATGGGTATGCTAAGCTTATATGAAGCTGCACATTTGAGGACGCATGGAGACGATATTTTGGACGAGGCTCTCGTATTTGCAACCACTCACCTTCAGTCCATTGTGACCAATTTAAGCCCCACTCTTGCGAAAGAAGTGGTGCATGCACTGAAGCAACCCCTTCACAAGGGGTTTCCATTCTAAGAGAAGATGCAAGGCATTACATCTCTATCTACCACGAAGATGCTTCTAAGAATGAAATGCTATTGAGGCTTGCACAGCTAGATTTCAATCTATTACAATTGTTGCACAAGGAAGAACTATGCCTCCTCTCAAGGTGAGTGAGTTCATCCCAAAAAAAAAAAGGTTAGTGGAGAGAGAGAGAGAGAGAGAGGGGGGTTTACGCATTTGGGAAACTAATATATTTGTATTTTTGACTTTTAGGTGGTGGAAAGATTTGGACCTTTATCAAAACTTCCTTATATAAGGGACAGACTGGTCGAGAGCTACATGTGGGTTTTAGCAACGTATTATGAACCTCATTACTCCCTCAGCAGGATAATTTTCACCAAAATTTTTTCTATGCTAGTCGTTATGGATGATACATATGATGCATATGGTTTACGTGAAGAACTCAGACTTTGCACTTATGCAATACAGAGGTTATAATTTCTTGAAGCCCTTGTTTTTTTTCTCATAGACTCATAGCAAAGCCATTTATATATTGCAAAAACTAGTGAAAGGGACAGATATTATGGAATTTGACATCAGCCGCTCCAAATATCCTACTGTTTATTTTGTGGCTTCTTCTGTAGTTAGCGCCTTCCAATATCATAAGCATGTGAATAAGAAAGACAAATGAATGGTTCAACAATCAATTATTCACTTTCTATGCAAGAAGCACCCCTCCACCGTAGGCGTAGACAACCAGAAAATAGAAAACAATTTCTTTTTATTTTTTCTTTCTGCATTTGATTGAGAACTAAAATGCCATTGCTTTTCGATATGAAGGAAATCGACAAGCTTCCAGATTACATGAAAATACTCTGCAGAACTCTCTTAAATCTTTACAAAGAATTAGAGGAGGAAATGGCAAAGCAAGGAATATCGCACCGTCTTTATTATTCACAAGAAGCAGTAAGGGTTTATATATATATATATATATATATTTTTTTTTTTTTTTGGTTCTCCTCTTGTTCATTTTTTCTTTGTATGTTTCGGAAAAGAACAATGGAAAGGATTTTTACTGTCGTTCCTGACATCAGTTTAAAGAAATTGTTATGAGCTATGACATTGAGTCCAACTGGTGTAATGAAGGATACGAGGCCACATTTGATGAGTATATGGGTAATGGGTTGATCACTGGCGGTCAGTTGTTGCTTGGATTATCATCCTTATTGGGCATGGGAGAAGTTGCTACTGTTGAAGCATTTGAATGGATGCAAAGCAAACCTAAAGTTCTTGTTGCAGCAAACATAATTGGGCGGCTCCTTAACGATATAGCAAGCCATGAGGTATAACAGTTACATAAATCACTTAATTGTATGATCCAATACATGTACACACATACATATTTGTCAAAAACATCTCTGTGACATTCATCTATAAATCTCTCGAATTTGAAGGAAGAAGATCAGAGGGCGCATGTAGCTACAGGGGTTAAATGTTATCTGAAGGATTATGGAGTGTCAAAGGAAGAGGTTATTGATGAGTTTTACAAAATGATTGCAAATGCATGGAAGGATATCAATCAGGAATGCCTCAGGCCAACCCCCGTTCCAATGGCTATACTCATGCGAGTTCTCAACCTGACAAGATTTCTGGAGGTACTTTACAAGTATGGAGATGGATACACACATCCAGAACTAATGTTGAAAGATTACGTTGGCTCATTGTTAATCGATCCCATTCCCATATGAGCCTGGAGGATGTTGATTGGTGTTTGTGATTTCATGGAGTTATGTTTGCTTGAACATGCAAGTATTTGGTGTACTGAGCATTTAGCTTTTTATAAGTTTTACTCCAGCATGGATTTGACTTGAGTGTGCAATGAAAGCAAATTCAATAAATGTGACGTACTGATTGTGGTTTGTCATATAAGGTTTGTCATTCAAGTTTTCAGCTTTAGATGACTCTTCAATTTCCGGATAATCTTATATGTATCTTTCTTAAAACATTTGAAATACTTACTAGAGGCAGTTGAGGACCCACATGATATTGTCTTACAGTATTAGCCCAACAATGTTTTATGTTTGGAGACTCTGTACATATCAAGATATAGAAAGTGAATAAGAAGAGGAGTGAGGTTAGGGTATGATAGAAAAATGATCGATTTGCTCAAGATCATGATTCAGAGGAGTATATCGATAAGGCAAGTGGATTAGGAATTTGGAAGGGTTAACTACAGATTACCCCACTGAGATTCAGTCACATTACATATTTCCTCCTTTATCTTTAAAAACCTACACTTAATCCCCTAACTTTATGGATTGAATTGAAATTCGTAACTCCCTTAGAAGACACATGTAAAAGACTATTATATTCTTGTTTATATAAATGCACCCACTCTGTGCAAAACATGTTGAATCAAACAAAGAGGCAGCAAAGGAGAAATTCAGAGACAATTGCTTTGACTACTATTTTTAATATTGTATTCGTCATGCAAAATGGAGGGTGATGGGTTTACTATTGAACTGCTGATTCAGAAAATGTACCAATTAGGGGGTGAAAATGTGCTTGCTGGTTCAAAAAATGTGCCAACTGGGGGGTGAAAATGTGCCAGCTGGTTCAGAAAATTTTTGCTGCTCTCGGACTCCACAACTTCAATGGCTGCTCTTGCACGACAGAAGCAATGCCTTGTTTCAACCTCAAATCAAGTTTTTCACCACCAAACTCTACTTGAGGTAGACATGATAATCACGAAAAAAAATATTATCTGCCTTCTGCTACTCTGTTTCTTTTCCTTTCTTCCTCCCCCTCTTTTTTTCTTTCTTCTTCAACCGTCTTCTAATGCACCGTCTCCTGTTGGAGGATTAGGGCTTATATTGTGTATAGAAGAGCACTTTGGGCATTTACTTGGTGGAGACTGATGGGAAAGGGTGCTAACGTGACTTTCAGGCGTGTGTGGTCGATTTCCAGCTAAATGGAACAGAAAAGCAAACGATTTCAGTTCAATCCATTACGTTAGGTGGTTAAGTGTAAGTTTTTAAAGAAGAATTAGGTAATATGTAGAGGTGAGGTAATATGTAGAAGTGTTCAAATTTCCGATTACTTATAAATTCAGATCCTATCCAACCACATCCGACTTTACTGAAAGAATTGGGTAGGCTAATAAAAAATTCTTTGGTATTTTGCAAAAAATTGTGTAGGAAATCCGCATAACTATATATATACTGATTGTAGATATTCTGCATTCCTAATCCATTTTTTTTTGCAGAATACCATTGCCAAGGACTTATAGGACTTGCCATTGCCAGTCGGCAAGTGGACTGCCTTGTCGGCAAGTGGCTTGGCAGCCGCTGTCAATTGGCAAGTGTTCACCTGGCCACTTCTTGCTGGTAAGTGACTTGGGCAAGTCCTTGCGCTTCCGCGCTTGGCCGTTAAGGCAACTAAAAATGAGTCCTACTATTAATCTAGGACCTCGAGTTTTAATTTAACACCACTCCAAATATCTAGTATCTAATGATAAGGGGTTAGGATCCAAAGTTTTAATCAAACTCTACCCTTTACTTATAGGACCTCCTAATGAGGTTGAGTCAATCAACCAAGAGTTTAAATTCCTTGAGGACACATCTCCCTATTGTTATAAATAAAAGTCTAGGTATCAGGTAATGCAATTGAATTCTAGTCTATTCACTCAACACTTTTTTCTGACTTGCAATCTGACTAAAGCATCGAAATCCATTTGGCCGCCTCTGGCCATCGGCTTACCTAGTTGTTCTCTTGTCTTGCAGGTTCCACGATGCTTCTTCTCCACCCTCTCCATCTGTATGAGATGGTTACTCTTTGTGCGAAATTGTCCTTGCACAATTTGATATGCTGATTAATATTTTTTCCTGGTTGCCACCATAATGCTAGGACCATGCCTTGCCCATTGTTCCTCAATGTTGGGTGTCACCCTTATTTTTTTATTAAGGTTAATAACACTTTTAGTCATTAATATATATATTTTATTAATTTAGTCCTCATTGTATTAATTTTGTCACTAAAAATACTCAATCCATGTCAATTCGGTTCCCTAATCAGACAATCTATCAAGTTTTGACAGAAGTTATCACGTGTCTTTTTTTAGACAGTATCACATGTCCAACACGTGATCATTCTGTCAAAAACTTAACGATCTATCTGATTAGGGACCAAAAAAATGATTGAATCCGTTATGGGTAAAATTAATAAAATTGATACAATGGGAGTTAAACTAACAAATAATACATATTTTAGAGACTAAAAATATTATTAACCCTTGTTATTATTATGGTTATGCCACTGAAAGAAAGAAAGAAAATTTGGCCATAAATGTGTCTGACCCTAAAAGTCAAAATTTTCTCACCAAAAACTTTTTTGTCACGACCAAATTTCGTGGCTCATTTCTCACAGTAACTTTGTTTGGAAAGCTTTGGCGACCACCAATAATTTTGCCATTGAAGGTACACATTATGTGGCAAATATTTAATTGTTAAGAAACCTAAAAATTCATCGACAAAAAATATTGGTCCCCGAAAGTATGCACCTATATCAATTCACTAAGCATGGAACTGTAATTCGACCAGAAAAAAGTATGAACCTTTAACAATTCACAAGTAATTTGATTTGCCTCGTTGGCCAATTATTATTTAAAAATAAATAATCCACAAAGTGCAGATGATACGGAAAATTTCATAATTGAAACCAAATAACAACACAAAAGACATAACAAAAATAACTAATAGAGGTCCCATTAATCTTGAAATGTACAAAATATTCCACATACTTAGATTTCAAATAAGATGATAGGATCATCAAAACTAACTTTGTGTAATAATCATCAATTTGTGAATAACAGGAACAAAACTTGGTAATAAATTACAAATAGAAAAGTAAAATAGAAATTGATGCAGCTAAATATGGCGTAGAGTAAAGCCCGTGACAAGCATAATCACATGCCTGGAGGGATCACGAGACAAATACATGAGTTGGATCTGATGTGGGGAAGAACCCAAATCGAT